GCATCCAGCACAGGCTTGAGAGGCCTCACTGGCATCACCCATCGTGGCAGGGTAGATGCAGCCAAATGATGCCCTCCACCACTGGGAAAGGATGCACACGAGAACCCTTCCCCGGGACCTGAGAAACAGCACCCACTGCCAAGAAAGACCTCAGCAGGAGCACAGAGAGCTGAAACCAGAAGAGCGACTCCACACTTGAAAAAGTTTCCTTAGACAAACTCCTAGGCACTAACTCATTTCCCAAGGTGGGTAAGGCCAAGCCCAGGTACTCCAGCACTGGAAAACCTGTACTCAGGGAAGCACAGTGCAGCGCCCAGGGCAGCGCAGCCTGCGGACCCAGATAGGGAATGCTCAGGACAAGCAGTACAGCTCCCCTGCAGCAGCAGCAACTACAAAAACCACCAGGAAAGAAACCAACCCTGAGCAGGAAAAGGATGACGACAGTGGCCACAGCGCCAATGCCAATGCCCAGCACCTCGAGATGGGCCAACCACTGCAGCGCCTCAACAGCCTTTTCTGGATTGTGATTCAGACACACTCAAACCCAAAGTTAGGTGACCTTTTTAGGGAAACAGGACATTCACTGGGTATCCTATGCTACTAGAGAAATTGTTATCTAGGTACAGGGGAGCAGGCCTGTAGTCCCAGGTGCTCTGGAGGGTGAGATAGTAACGTCACCAGTGCCCAGGAGTTTGAGGCCAGCCTGAGCAACAATGAGAAATCTCATCTCACAGGGAGGCAAGCAAGAAGGAAGGGAAGGAAGGGGAAGAGAGGAGGGGAATGGAAAGGACAAGAGGAAGGAGGAAAGGAAGGAAAAAAAGGGAAGAAAGAGAAAGAGAAACAAAGGAGGGAGCGAAGTTGGTGCTTTTTCCGTAGGTGTGATGGTGTTTGGCTGAGTTTTCTGAGGTCTCTTATCTGTATGGATGTGCATAGCCTATGACGTCTGGATTTCTTCTGGATAACCCAGTGCTGGGGAAGTGGAGGACATGTGAATAGAAACTGGCCCTGGCTTGATGGTGACTGCAGGCATGAGGGCCTCCCCATGCTAGCGAGCTTGGGTAAAGGAAGAAGCTACCATCCCATGATGAGTCTTCCATGGCAGCCTCATAGGAAGGAGCTGACAGGGAGAGACAGTTCTGTCCAGCCGTTCACCCAAAACATCTTACTAGCTTTGGGGTTTTCTGCCTTGCCCAGGCCCAGAGCCTGGGGTCAGGGAAGGCCTGCAGAGCTCTAGGGATGATCTCGCTCCACTTCCAGGCCTGCTTGGCTGCTCAGGCTCACCCAAGCAGAGGCCTCTGCCCCTCACTCCCAGCTCTCTCTGTCAGGCCACCTGCCCTGGACACTGCTTGTGGATGGAAGGACAGCACCAGGAGAGGGCTATCCTCCTGTCTGCAGCAGGACTCTGTGCCCTGCCTCAACTTCTTTTTTATATATATGAGGCAGGGTCTCACTATATAGTTCAGGCTGCCTTTTAATTAATTGGTTTATGTAGCCCAGGCTGGCCTCAAACTCACTGGGATCCTCCTGCCCCAGTCTCTCAAGTGCTGGGATTACAGGTGTGCACCACCATGCCCGGCTCAGCCTCCCTTCCTAAAGGCAAGAAGATGTATGGTGAGATTACTTCCGGCAGAGAGATCAGGCTCTTGGATGCCACATTCCAGGAGTGGAGTGCTGCAAGCCATGAGTATACATCCTCCATTCCTCTAAACTGTGTCATCTCTTAAAGCTTTATCTGAGTCATAACAAGGGTCCATGACGGCTGTGAGTGACAGTAGCAGCTGGAGGCAAAGCCACATCTCGCATTCACCATGAGGTCAGGCTTTATCACTGAGCCCAACATCACCAGCTCAGCCCAGACCGGACTGCTGAGTTTCTCTTTGCTTTTGTCTGTTTGTTGCAATACTAAGAATCAAGCCCCCCCCCCCCCCGCAAAAAAAAAGAATCAAGCCCAGTGCTTCTGCACTGAGCTACACCTCAACCCTTTTGATTTTGAGACAAGGCCGTGATAAGTTGCCAAATGGCCCATACTAGGCTGGAACTCATGAACCTCCTGCCTCAGTCTCCCTGAGTGCTGGCATTACAGTATGTGCCACTGTGCCTGGCTTCTTCAGCCCAGCTTTAAGAGAGGAAAAACAAATCCCATCAGAGTCCAGAGCTGCTCTTGCCTGAGTTCCAGCCACCCTGGCCTCTACCCCACTTATATCCGGGGAAGAAGCAAACGGCGGCTCTGCTGAGGATATGCAGAGGGCCAGGGCTCAGACAAGGTCATGTCAAGGAACCAGTGCCGTGGGATGGCTCAGCCAGGGGAAGACATTTTCCAGCAAACCGGTGGCTCTGGGGGACACTGCGCCTGCCTGGCACCATTGTAAGACCTCTACCAATGTCAAGGGAGACCAGCACGGGCCCACCCCAATGCTCCCACATTTTCTTTGGAAAGGTACACTCTAATTCCAACAATCCCAGCAGGAAAATTCCTACACTCACTGACACTCTGTGGAATCTGAGGCCTGAGTTCTAGAAACATTTGCTCAGTTCTTGCAGTACAGAGATTGATCTCAGCCAGAACAGAGGTGGCTTTGGCTATATGAGTCAGGGTATGAATTCACTCATATTCCTGGGAGAGTGATCTCATTAGCTGGGGACTGGGGACACTGCTTCCCTGACACCTGTCTGGTCAGCCCGGGACCCAGGAGGCTGGCCAGGAAATGGTCCCCTTCATCACACACACTGGCAGCAGTAAAAATTTGGCCTAAAGTAAGAGACCAGAGACGCCATTCAGCTACAGGGTTCAGACAGAGAGGGAGGAGGAAGCCCGCCAAGGAGGAAGTATTGATTTTTGTCGCAGATGCTCTTGGACTCCAAGTTCCAAAATGGAAGGTGCAGAATCCCTTGTGGGAAGTTATCTGATGGACACCCTGGCATGCTTTAGGCTCCAACGGTCCTCAGACCCCTCCAACAGCTCCAGCGCACACCTTCCTGACAAGAGACGAAGGGGTAACTTTTCCTTCTTAGTCTCTTTCGAAAACAAAAAAGATGAAAAGAAGAAAGTACGTAAGCTGAGGGAAGAAGGAGTGGCCTCTGGGCCTTGTATGGAGGGCGATGACAGTCACAGATGCAGGCCCTGAAAGATCCACAGAGGTAGGCAGGGCCTGGGGCAATGTCCACTGTCCCCAGCCAGTCCCCAAAGCCACCTCTTAGAACAGAATGAGAAGCCAGACACATTGCTGCACTTCTGTACTCCCAGCAGTAGGGAGGCTGAGGCAGGACTGCAGTGAGTTCAAAGACAACCTGAGCTACACAGTAAATTCAAAGGCCATCCTGAATTGCACAGCAAAAGCCTGTCTCAACAACAACAACAACAACAACAACAACAACAACAAAAAGAGAGAGAGAGAGAGAGAGAGAGAGAGAGAGAGAGAGAGAGAAAGGGACATGGGATAGTCCTCAAATACCACTTTTTCCTCCCTAGAGCTCTGCAACATATACCTGTGGCGTTAACTCATAGACAGAAAAATTATATTTGCAAAAGCAACTGCTTCCCCCCAAATTTTATTTTTGGGTCCAGTTGTATCATTCCCAACTTGCCCAAGGGGCAAGGGGGTGACCACAGCAGTCGTGAGTCACTTTTCTTTTTTGTGAATGGACAGGAAGGAAGACACAGAGACACACTCACAGGAAAGAACATTTGTGAGAGTTGACAAGAAGCCACATTCTCTCACATTCACATAAAGAAGGAAGAAGGGAAATGAGAGGGGAAAACTGGAATGGTGGAAAGGGAAACACACACACACACACACACACGCGCACACACACACAGAAAGGTTTGGTAGCCCTCTCATTACAAGTTGGTTGGGCATAATGTAAACACTTCTGCCTTGCTTAATCACAGAGTGCTGCCCGTTTAGGTTTCAAAGGCGGCAGTAAATTGGGCGTAGCTGAGTGGAGGCTAAAAATTAACCAGCCATCTCTGTTTCAATTTGTAAGAAAACAAAAGCAGAAAGAAATTATAAAAAGGGAAAGGAGAAAGGGAGAAAATAAAAAGGACCAAGGGAGGAGAACTAAGCCAGACTGACCCAAAATGCAGGGTGAGGTTGGAAAAACAGAGTGGAAAAGTAAAACTACTTGGAAGACAAAAGGGAAAAGAGGTTTTAAAGGTTTTGTTTGCTCCAGACCTCTTTCACAGCAAACGCTCCTTCAAGGCCTGCTCTCCAGTAGACTGGTTTGGTCTGGGCATCCTCCCGGCTGCGACATCTTAGGGGGCCGCGACATCTTGGAGTCTCGCTACTTCTGCCAACCAAGGTGCATGCAGGGCGGCAGAAGCCCAAGGCATCTACTGCTTGCTTCCCCTCTCTCTATGAAATCAAATCACTTTCATGCTTTCCGAATCCCAATTCCAGGCAACACCGCTCCTGCCAGGGCATCTGGGCCCCAGAACCTGCCCATGGCAGGCTGCCTCCTCTTCTCTTCTGTTTGTTCAGTCTCCTCTAAGAGGATTTCGCATGCCCCTCTCTCCACCGAACTGCTGCCCACCCGGCTAGTGCCAAATCCAGCTTTTTCTGGGACTTGTGGTGAAGCCTCAGGAAAGCCAGCACCTGCTCTCTGATCCTTCCTGAGTCATTTCAGAGGAGAGCAAAGATGGATCTTGCTGTCAGCCCCAAACTCTCACCATCACAGGTAATTGTGGAGACACCCCGGCCCCATCCTAAGCAAGGCAGCACCTTTGGGACCGATGAGTCCTCCCAGAGATGGAGAAGTGCAGAGCCGGTATCGTGGCAATGAAGCCAAGGAAGGCAAGCAGAGAGGGTGGAGGGAGACAGAAGAAGGGGAGAGAGAAAAGGCACACTTCAAACTAAATGTGAGGAGTATGGTACAGGCCTGAGCAGGACAGCTGGTGGCAGCTAGGCCCTTGGCAAGTTACCCTTTACAATAAGAGGAACAATAAACAGAACAAATGCCAGCAAGGAAAATCAAAGGGGGGAGAAAGGCTGAGAGCAACCTACCCGGAGTGTGGACAAAGTAAGCCAGATAAAGATCCAGTTCTTTGATTGTGACTCCAATGTGATGTGGCTGGACACACAGGCCGGGGTTCGAGCACTGGGGCGACTTGTAGAGCCGCTCCCCATCAGTACTTTCCAGGGGGATCCCCTTAAACAAAATCACCATGACCAGGTCCAGCCGCCACACCTTGTCGGCCTGGCGCAGGCAGTCAATCCGCCGGATCTTGCCCTTCTGGTCGGGGTTGGACAGCACGCAGCATGGGGGCTTCTTGCCCGTGATGGTCAGCACAAAGTCCTCACGGAACTCGGGCCGGATGTCTTTGCGCAGCTTGGCCAGCAGCCGGGATGCCCACTTCTGCTTGATCTCAGGCTTCTCGCCCAGCAGCTCGTCCTTCACCGCCCGCTCCTCATCCTTTGACATCCGCTTCTCGTGCTTCTTGAAGTACTTGCGCTTTCGCGCCTGCAGGTTGAACCAGGTGTAGGAGAAGGCGCGGACGTGAGGCAGCAGCGCCTCGATGAACGGGTGGAACTCATCCTGCAGGCGGCAAGCCGGGAGCATGCGGGGCGAGGGAGGACGGGAGGAGGGGAAGACGGGATGAGGGGGAAAGAGAGAAGGAGAAAAGCAGCGTTAGAAGGGGGGGCACGAAGAAAACCGCCTTCTCCTCCTCCCTCCCCCCAACAATTTTCTCTTGTGATTGTTCTACAAAAGTGTGGTTTGAAGTCACCACCAGCTTCGCCAGCCGCTTGCTCTCATCTCAGCCTCAGCAGCCAGACAGAGGCACCGGGAGCCTGTCCACACACCTATTCTCTCTCTCTCTCTCTCTCTCTCTCTCTCTCTCTCACACACACACACACACACACACACACACACACACACACACACTGCTGGTCTCCCCGCCAGGCTCTGTCGCGCCCATGACATCTCCATGTTCCACCGCAGCCGTGAACTCATGTCAGCGTGCCCGCGCGGTGCTCGTCTGCACTGACGCCCGTGGAGGCCCGCGAGGGGCACGCGGGGGCCACCTCCTATCCCTGACCAGACACGGCCGCTCTGGCTGCCCCGGAAGCCTGGGATGACATCCACGAGCAATCAAGGAACCGGCTCTGGAGTCCCTCTCCTCGCGCTGTTTTCATTTTCTTTCCTCCTGATATAGTTGGAACATCCACCCCAGCATTTTTTAATCAGACCTAAATCCTAAATATGTGATTTCAGCTTTGTTATCAACACCGATACTAATGTTAATCACAGTAATAATGAACAAAACACTTCTTGGTAGCACAAACAAGGTGGTTGTCTCGGCCACATCAGGGTTAAAGCTACACGGGTAGGCTCGAAGCCCCTTCCCCAGCCTCCCACGACCCTTCACCCTCTCTCCCACTCAGTCAGGTGACAGAGGGCTGGGCTCTCGGTTTTTGGAATTTTCTCTCTCTCTCTCTCTCTCTCTCTCTCTCTCTCTCTCTTTGCTTGTTTTGAAGTTAAATAATTGATTTCTGTTTGCAAAAATAAAACTGGAAAAAATTAAATAATTACCATTGATCTGAAGCACCCGGCCAAGCCCCACGCTCGATTCTGAGATTCTGGACTCAACAGAGTTGTGAGTTGGGGGCGGGTGGGGGAGGGGAGGAGGAGGAGCAGGGGAGGAAGGTAAATGTTTTAAAGGGGGTTATTATTGGTGTTCTGGGGAATAGGGGCCGGGCTTGGGTGGATTCTCAAACCCTTCCCCCTCCGCACCCCCACGCTCCATTGCACCGAAGGGGAAAATTAATATTTTTTTTTAAAAGGCGCAAAAAGAAAGAAAGGTCAGGGATAGCAAGCAGAGAGAGGGAGCGAGCTGGTTGCCACACACGCCAGGTAAACAAAAGCCAACATAAATTTTTTTTTCAATTTTTTCTCCCTATGCATCCTATTCCAGTCTTTTAAAAAAGAAAAGAAAAATATGCAAAATTTAAAAATCAAAGCCAACCTTCCACCATCCCCCTTTCCCACAACAACGCACCCTGCCCCACCCCCGTGCAAAACAAAAACAAAAACAAAAACCAGGAGAGAAAAAAGCGGCAGCTGAAGAAAAAGGCTTTCGGCTTTGGCATCGGCAGAGGGGTGTAAACTTCGAGCTGCCTCCCTCCGCCCGATCGGAGGAAAAGGGGGAGCTCGCAGATTCCCGGGGAAGAGGACGAGTTCTGACCGGCTGCAGACCGTTGCTGGCAGACGCGTGCAGAAGAGAGAGGGAGCGAGGGAGGGAGGGAAGGGGGAGAAAAGATCGAGGATCAGGGAGCACGAGGCTGGGATGGGATGGGGTATGTGTGTGTGAGAGTGTGCGCGTGTGTAAGGGTGCGTGTGTGTGCGTGCGCGAGAGTCTGTGCTCGGCTTTTGGGGGTTTTGTTGCTCCTTTTCTCTCAAACTCCCTCTCTCTCTCCTCTTTCAAGCTCGATCCCCATCTATTTGCTGGTGCCAAGCCAGTTTTAAAAAAGGGGGGAGGGTGGGGAGGGAGAGAGAGAGGGAGAGAGGGAGGGAGCGAGAGAGAGGGAGAGAGAGAGGGAGAGAGAAAGAGAGAAAGAGAGAGCGCGAGCAGGATCCACCTATTTGGCTGAGAGACCTCCACAAGTAGCCAATGGCTGCGTGCAAGGGGAGGAGGGAGCTGGCGAGGGGGGGTGGGGAGAGCCCCCGGCGGTTGGAGACCAAAAACAATTTGCCCAATCGACAAGTTCACGTCTAATGAACAAGCAAAGTCCAGCAGTTATGAATTTTTCATTCCAGGCTTCCACTCGGGTCCATTTGGCGGCAGTCACCCAGCAAATTTGGAGGTGGGGGGAGCTGGGATTGAGGAAGACGCGGAATTTTTTTTTTTTTTTTTGCCAGAAAAATAAATAAATAAAGGCCTGACTCCAGGCGGGCTGGCGGGCGGGAGCCCCAGAAGGCCTTGGGGAAAGCAGCTGCGCCTTCTCTGTGTTTTGGTTTCAGTCTTTCAGTCGGCCCGCACACTCTCTTTTTCTGTTTCTAGTTCTTTTCTTCTCTCTCTCTCTCTCTCTCCTGCTGTTTCTCATCTGCTGTCTCTGTCTCTGTCTCTCTCTCTCTCTGTCTCTGTCCCTCTCTCTCATGTATGAAGCACCCAGGCGAGTGCAAGTTTCCTCTCCGGCCCTACACACGAGCCTGCAGAGCTATGCAAAGAAACAAGAAGAAAGAGAGCTCGGCAAGCGCCCACGCCAGCAGCACTCCCAGGCCAGGGACGGGGCGCCCAGGGTGCGGCCACCCTTGGGAGGTGGGGGGCACTCCCGGACCTCAGGCCGCCTCCTGCACCCCCTCCCCCCCTCGGCAGCCTTCCTCGGCCCACACCCAGCCACGCACGCTCCATTAGTGGTGACGAGGGATGCCAACGCAATGCAGCTTGACTCGCGAAACTGCAACAGTTTATTAAAATAGCCTCCTGTCACAGCACTGTGCTGACAAGCACTATACGCAGCCACAAACACAACAGCCAGCACTGGGGAGAAGTGACAAAGGCGGCAAGAGGGACACTATCTCTCAATGGAGACACCCAGCTTCCTACACCTCCTGTCCCCCCCATCCAAATGTTTAATTCTTTGCCTCCCTAGCTTTGCCTCTCCCTCCACTCAATCTGAGGTTAGCTGTCTGACCTGTCCCCTAAATCGCTCCAGACTAAGGGGACCTAAATAAAGTGGAAGCTGCAAAAAGCATAAAGTGAGAAGCCTAGGAAAGGGAGGGAGTTAAGGCCAGACCACAGAAAAGTAGAGGGCTCTAGCAGGAAAGATGGGGCAGCTGAGGAAATCAAGTCAGGGCCAGGCAGCAGGACACCCCACCCCCCACCCCTCCACCTAGGTCTCTAGCTTGGGCTTTCCTTCCAGCTGGTGAGGAGGCTGAGCACTGGAGAGGAGGAGTCCCAAGGTTTTAGGGGGTCCCTTCAGATAGGGGTATATGGGGCAGCCAACCCTTATGGCCTGGGGAAAGCTGTACAGAGGAGCCAGGTATGAAATGAAAGGGAAAGTAGGACTGAAGGACGGTACCACAGATGTAGAGGGCAACCTGATCCTGCTAGAACCCTCTCCCCAGGCCCAGCCCTCAGCTGGCAAAGGAAAAAAGGTCACTGCTCACTCGCCCCTTGCTTCCCCTCCAAGTCCTGCACTCCGTAGCCGTTCCATTGTTCACTGCAGCGTAGGTTCCCAGAAGGGTGTATTGGAACCACCTCTAGCCCTGGGCCCTGCTGCACCCTGACCAACGGAGAGGTGCGACCGGACGCATGGAACCCCACACCCAGAACGGTCGGCCCCATGAGGTGAGCCCACAGCTGAGTGTGAAAGTGGCAGAAATGGAGGTGCAGGAGGCAGGTGCTGTCACCCACGGGCCTCTCTCGGGGTGGTATTCAATAATTCACGTCCCGTTAATAACCAGCTTTGGTCCAAGCAGCTGAAGATGTGAGCGTAGCTGCACAAGAGACTAAGCCCGGCCTCCTCACCTTGAGGAAGCAATTTGACTTTCATGAAAGCTGCAAGTGACTTTGTATTTGGCATAGGGGTGTCTTTCTGATATTCTGAGTGTGCCACATATTAGACACTGAACAGAAAATGGCCAACATGAGTCTCCTGGCAAAGGCTGCCATGTTCCTGCTCATGGATCACGGTGCTGGTGGAAGAGATGTGCTTCCCAGGGGTGGACTCGAGTCTGGTGGCATAGCCGGTGCGGGTGGTGGTGGGGTGGTGGAGAGCAGCAGTCGCACAGCTGGGAAATGGCAAAGGGAGGGCCTGAAGAGGACGGTTGGGAGAACCTGGGGAGCTGCAGGATTCACTCGGCAGGGAGAGGGGAGGGGTCAAAAGTCCTCGGAGGGGTCTCCAGAGCTAGGTGAGGAGTATCTGGAGGCCTCAGAGACTCCGATAGAGCCTGTCAGGGGAGAACAATGGTCAGCTGACCTTCCCCATACAGCGGCTGTAACCTTGAAGGTGGGCAGGGACCCTCGGGCCGCATTCTTCCTCAGCCTGCTGGGCAGGGTGCAAGTCCCAGTAGGAGACCTTCCCCCAAGGGCTTCCAGGCATTCAGATTTCCAATACCAGGGCAGAGAAGGCAGATTCTCCCTGCTCTGTCAGGGTGCTTCCTCCTAATAGGGTTGCTCAAATTTCTTCCGAATCACTTTAGGCACTTATCCTATCCGCCCCCTGCCCCCAGGCCACCAGTTCTCCCTACAGCCTGGACACGCCCCTCAGAAGCCCCAGACAAAAGAGAACTGTCCCCCTTTTGTTAGGTGAGAGTAAAGGTTCCTCTTGGAAGATTACCTGTCCCTGTCCTGGCCTCCTTCCTTTTCCCGTCTGCCCTCCTCTAGCTCAGACTGTTCTGCACCCTGCACCCAGCACCGGGGCCAAGAAAGAAAACCCTCCAAAGCGTTCAAGGCTTCCCCACGTCTGAGTCGCAGGCCAGAGTGAGGAAACAAGTAGGCCACCGAGGAGAAGAAGAGATGGAGGGAAAGGAATAAGAAAAACACCCGGGGGAAAGGAAGCCAGCGGTGCTGTGAGCAAAAAGGAAAATTAAAGACAAGGGGGGAATAAAACAGGAAAAATTGGGGAGAGGGTACTTCCCCTATTAACAGAAAAATCGAGAAGCAAAAAATGCAACCTTTGAAATTCACATGAGATTTTGGTTTGTGGAAATTTTTGTGCCTTTGTGAATGAAAGATCTCTCTTTTATTGTTGAAGATACAGAATTTGGTCTTCAAAAGTTTCTGTTGAAAAATTTCTCAAACAAATATCTTTCCGACCCTGGACCAGTTTCAGTCATTACTAGGAGAAATTTGTCTTCCCTGCAAAAAACAACCAAACAAACACAAAATGAAACAAACAACAACAAAAAAAAAAAAAAAAAAAAAAAAGAGAGAGCCACAGAGAAAAAAGGTATGTGAAGGGAAAGAGAAGTAGAGTCAAAGCCCGAGCCTGGTGTGACAGAGAGTGCCAAAGCAGCAAAAATAAATAAATAAACAGGGAAAGAAGACAGCAGAAAAGGAAAAATAAGGAAGAAGAGATTTTTTTTAAGGCTCTGGGATAGGGGGAAAAAAGAAAAACTGAGGAAAATGTCTGTTTTTAATGCTGAAAAAGTGAAATGTGGGTCTTCCAAAACTGCCACAAAATACAGTCTTGTTAACTGAGGCCTTGTGGAGTTTTTGAGGAAAAACAGAATACTATGCACAGTTCCTCACTCACATGCAGAGTCTTAAAAATTCTTTTAAGGAGACAAAGTAATTTTCCCAGCTGGAACAGGTATTGTCCCAATATCTGCCAATAGTGAAACACTTAGGCCAAAGAAATTAAATTTTTTAAGATCTAGGCCACTGTCTCTTTTTATTCATTCATTCATTCATTTAATTTTTTTTTCATTTATTTTTAAAATCCTATTTGCCCATAACCTGCTGGCTTTAGGGCCCAGATTCATTCTTTCCGACCCTGGACACCTAGGTCCAAGCTGAATTGGATAACTATGGACAGTTAGTGCAAATCACTGGCAAAACTTACTGAATAGTTACCCAATAATCCAGCATCCATTTCACGACTGCATATCTGCAGACAGGGTGAGAAAAAGGAAACTTAGCAGGCCACAAATAGAGCCACAATTAGTTTGCTGAATTCCTGGCATTTTATTATTCAGTTTTGGTCTGAATAGAAAGAGGCCAATTTCCCATCCCTGAGACTTCCGTCTTGTCCCACAATCGCTGCTTCTGGAAGGCCGCAAGAAGGCAGTGGCCAGGCTCGTGGGCAGAAAAGGGAACTGCAGAGTGGACCAGGCAGCAGCAGCAGCAGCAACAGCAGCAGCAGCAGCAGCAGCAGCAGCAGCAGCAGCAGCAGCAGCAGCAGCGCCGGGACGCTAAGGAAGGGAGATGCCCGGGATTCTCCAGAGGTGGGTGGGGCTTGGGGGGGGCAGGAAGGGGCTCTGTAGCCAGAGCAAACCCATCCAAAAGTCTGGAA